TATAAAACGAAATAAAAACCAGAAACAAGCAACATAATATTATGCATCGAAAATGAGACCGTGGTCAGAAAGTGAAGTTAGTGGACGAGGAAAAAAGAAACTCAAGACACGAACGCCAATGAGGTAGACTATTCGCCACATCAACACTTGTATGTAAGCAAACATGTTCATCGATCTTGGTATTCCAGCCTGGCAGTCAGGAGGAACCAAAGGAGGCCAACTTTGAAGTGAGGGTTTTCACTTCTCCACTAAGTCAGCAACTGATCTCTCCTCCTCTTCCTTATCTACACCCCCGGCGCGTAAACAACGCACGTCGCGCGAGTCGGTAAGCTGGCATGCGCAACATGTGATCCAGGTTCGTGAAACAACGGTGTTAGGCGGTCTACTCGCTCTTCCTGTACCAAATACATGACGCCGAACACGCTCATTGCTCACGCGGTGTTCCCCACAGAGATGAGCTAAAGTGCAAAGACAGCGGTGGTCGAACGAAACAAACCTCTTTAGATCTGTCGATCTGATAAGCCAAGTTTCACAACAGTACAAAGGGTTGAACGGACGAGTGCATTGTAAACTCAACCGTACAAAGCAAAAGTAATGTCGCGCTGGTGCCACAGGTTGGGAGATTGGCAAAAGCGCTTAGAGCTATACAGGCTGCGTAAATACTTAAATTTCTGATCGACTTCCAGCTGAGCACCATCAAAGTTCAACGCAGAGGTGGGTCCCTGTCAATATTAGAGAAGGACTTAACATTTCGAGAGTGCAAAGCATTATCCAAAACAATTGACATATAGTGCTAATTTATTCAGCGCTACTTGACATGTTTGGGAGCTGTCAGAAATTACGACACAGCCGTCGGCGTACTCCATGCCAAAAGTCAGTCATGCCCAGTGAACGCAGTTTCCATAACTTCGTCGACAGCGAAGTGGAAAAGGAAAGGTGACGGCGAGCAATCTTGTCTCACACCGCTGGAGATATTGAAGGAAGGCGACAGTTTGTGATAAGCCGCAACTCTGCCCGTGCTATGCGCGTACAGCGCTCTCATGACATCTAAGTATTTCTCGGACACACCTTTCCCTACCACACATTTGCAAAGGCACATCAGCCAAACGAATCGAAGGCCCCTTTAATGTCGAGGAACGGTGTGTCGCCAAAAAACGTGGTGATATCCCAACAAATGACGTAGTGTGAAGATGTGATCAATACAGCCGCAACATAGACGAAACCCGGTTTGTTCCCCGCGAAGCTGGCCTTAACGAATGGCAGTAAATCTGTGGACAAGAACCGAGGTAAGTAACTTAGAGGCAATTAAAATCAGACTGCCTTTATGATTTCCGCATTCCGAAAGTGAGCCTCTATCGAAAATTTAGAGTATAACGGGGCGGCCTCAGCCTGTTGCGTAGAGCATCTATAAGAGCTGGCACCCCGAATTTGAAGAAAGTAGGAGGAAATCTGCCTGCTGCTGCGGCATAATTCAATTTCAACAGTCGGATCTCGCTTTCGAGTTCTGTGCATGAAAGCGGATCCAAGGGGGCTACTCAGTGAGATGGGCGATCACTGGTTGGCGGCGAATCTGGTAATTCCGGTCGATTGAAATGCTCTTCAAAAAGCAAAAACCAATTCAAGCGTTTTGTTAAGTTGAGGACAGGCTGCCCACTCAAGTCGCACATAGTTTCGCCGATACTAGGTCTTCGGTTACCCGTTTTCCGTATCAGACCGAACACCCTTACGATGCACGGAGACTAGCAGGCCTCAGGGCCTCTCTTCAGGATAGAGCACAGTTTTGCCTTGAGGTTTTTGCTAGTCTCCTTATGTTCTCTACCAGCCGGAATATGTCGACAATCCAGGAGCTCCAGAGAATGTGCATAGACCCAATGTGTTCTGTGTGACGGTTGTAACGCGAGCACATCGTCGAAAACTAAGAAAGTCTCTTAAGGGTCTGGACTCATGCGTGCACACGCAGAGGGAGATTCTACATATCACTACGCAAGTCCTGACGAACTAAATTCCAATTAGGGCAAATGAAATAACGTGCCAGTCCCACAAATGAAAGTAGCTCCGTTTCCTTGCACCGGCTGGCTACCATCGGACAAACTGATGGAGTGATGGTTGCAAGGAGAAATCATCAGTGGTAGACAAATCTCATCATCCTACTCGCTGACTCGAGAAAGACGACAGCCACACGAGCATGAGAAGCAGCTGGGAACTAAATTTGAATGTGCAGTGTACGAGGGATCAGCAATACACCGTACCAACGCTTCGCTGCCATGCAAAGACCACCAGTTGCGCATGGCTAATGATACTGCGAGGGTTGCCCGGTCCATTACGCAGGTTCGAACCGTTGACCTCCGGGTCGTAAGGCAGACGTTCTGTCCTTTCGGCCGTGCGATGTACGAAATCAATTAATGATAAAGTCTCCCGAAGACAGCGTGGACTCACAAAGTATCTAACATTGGGGACGGTCTTCCAGCCATGTAGCACTTAATAGAAAACTGGAGCCATTACTTAAAAAGGTAGAGTAAACGAATGACACACATGTGTTATCAGCGTTCGATGAACGAAATCTGTCGCAGCAGAATACATGATTAACTGAGAGCTTTTGTGGAAGACACTCGTTCGTGAATGTATAATCTGGGACGCTATTAACTCGAGGAACTGGTATCGGCATCCTCTTCACATTGATCGCGAATCCCTTCACTTCAAACCGCTCAGTAAAGGCTCTTCCGAGCTTTGTTATCCTAATATCACAAGACAGTCATCATTTAAACATGAGTTCCAGTTACATATCGGAGCTTTGAAAATTCACATCTTACCAGATCAATGGACAAAAGACGGCTTCAACAATTTATGTTCTATTGAAGCTGATCTGCAGCATGACCCTGAAACATCCACACAATACAGTAGTATCGCAATGCCAGTCCCGTTGACAACCTCAAAATCTAGTGATGATGACACTTGGTGTCCCAGCCGAGTCTGATTGAGTCAATGGGCCTCAAGATTCAGAGTTGGGATCGAACCCGAGACATGTGCAAGCGGTGTGATTCAGCGCCCGTGGGATTGAGGATGAGACCACGAATCGTATAGCAAAAGCTCGGGGCGCTTTTGTTAACCTTCACCAGTTATGGCGGCGGCGTGACATCACTCCTGCCCTGAAGGGTAGAGTGTACAATGCAGCAGTACGTTCGACCCTACTGTACGGTTGTGAAACTTGGCCGCTTAAAGCAGCGAACCTGAAGAGGCTAGTTACGTTCGACCACCGGTGCCTTCGCAATTTAGCTCACATCTGGTGGGAACACCGCGTGAGTAACGAGCGTGTTCGACGCATTGTTTACGGCCCAGGAAAAGGATCTGAACCGCTCAGCACCGTTATTTCACGCACCAGGCTCCGATGGCTCGGCCACGTGTTACGCATGCCAGCCCACCGACTCCCGCGACGTGCGTTGTTTGCTCACCGGGGATGTGGGTGGAAGAAGAGGAGAGGTGGCCAAGCGATGACTTGGTCCAGAGGAATGAAGGCGCTCACTTCTGAGCTGGCCTCGGTTGGAGCGTCTCGGCTTCCTGGTTGGGGTCCGAAAGACGATGAACACGTTTGGCTGGATACACTTGCTGACATGGCAAGGAGCCGACCTCAGTGGCGTTCCTGCTGTGAGTTTCTTTGTACCACCCCATCCCTCTTAGCTTCCCCTTCCAACCACGATCTCATTATTTAGCTTTATATAATTTCGCATAGTATATTTTTTGATGCACAGTAGCCGGCTTGTAGCTTACCGGAACGATGCCCATCTGTTACCGGTAGCTCAGCCGGCTTGCACCAGTTGCATTTTTTTCTCTCCTTTTTTCTGTGTATTGCGGCACAGTAGCTGAGGTGTTCCCCACCTCTAGCTAACGTGTATGATGATGATGATGTGATTCAAGGAAGCCGAGTGAATAGTCCATGAGCGAGGCTCGGCTGTAGAATCCGAAAGACGCTAATAGGCAGCGATTGAAAACAATGTGCCTACATTATTTCGGTGGCAAGGCGGCCAGCAAGAATGAACCATATTGGCATCCCTGATGTCCCACTACTATGGTTATTGCTAGTGATATTAATGTCCACATGGTTTGTTTATGTGCGTCAAACCATCGATCGTACGTCGCTTCAGAGTGTATGCAGATCGCAGAGTGGTGATAGGTCTCTTCCACTGGAAGCTAGTGATCCCGTTGATTTCTCAGTGGCTAGAAGTAGCCACAACAATAGGAATTGTAACAATCAATAGTGAAAGCAAGCAGTGTTTCGTTTGACCTTTAGTAACATAACGTTCTAATGTGTAAACGAATGAGCAAATGCAGTCGTAGTCATGATCATCATCATCATCAGCAGCAGCAGCAGGAAAAACGGTAGTACATCACTACGGATTGAAATACTACAACAATGATGACATAGCAAAGATTAGTTGAAAGTTGGAGAAGGGAAACTTAGTGAAGCAAAGGTTTAGAGTCGGCATGACTACACCTTATCAATAACTTGCTGTCACTAGCAGCTGGTTATCGTGCGAGGGGAAAACGGTAACGATGAGACAGCTTCCCTGCTACTTTCACTGCCCTACGTCACAGTAAGCCTTAATCCACAGATAACTCAGCATTAAAGGCTTACACAAGCTAGCTGAATAGAGCACAGCAAACGTATCGCCTGTGACCCACATTTTGTAAGGTCATAAAATGGGATCACTATTTCAGCACCACCATCTTCAACAATAAAGACAGTTGATGGTGGGAAATCACGCAGAAATCGTAGAGCAATTTAGTAAGGAACAAAATATTAGTACACAGGCTTGCATGGAAAGCGAGCGCGGTCAACGCTGGAGGTGTGAGGGAATGCCAGAGGATAGATGATGACTACACCACTAGTTTAAAAAAGTCCAATGAATAATCATTACCAAGTGCTAGAACAGTGTTGCCAAGATAACCATCCCAATATCAGTAAAGTAAAAGCGCAAATGGTCACTACCAATACTATCACTCACTTTCAGTGCATCCGCATAATTCTTCAACAATAAAAGGCGCTGTAAGCGGATGAGATACCGTTCGACTTCTGATGACACGGAGGTCACACGGTCCGTTATCCGATCGGTAGGCAACTTTACATCAGCGGTCAGCCACTCACTAAAGTACCAAAAATCAAATGAACACAAGGACAGAGTGATAAGGCGCACGGGGAAAACAGAGGGAGTGGTCAACTGACAAGCGCGGTAATTGGGTGTACGTGTGTGAAAAGGTTCAAAAAAGGAGAATAACGTGTAGACACGCCCATAGCAGCTTGCGAATCACATTGCTGCAGCTGTTGACCAAATGACCAGTTATCCATTCGTTTCATCGCTACTCCCACTTCGAAGCTAACCAACTCTGAGAGAACGGAGCACCATCGCAGTAGCGAAGGTGAGCTGAACTCTTGAATAACCGAACAAGTATACTAAACCAGGCACTGTCTCGGTAATGCAACTTTTGACAGGGTAATTAGACAATACACGGCCATTTTAATGGGAATTCATTACTCTAATACATGTAAAGAAAGTATGCCGTGCGGAGCATACGACCGAGAATGAGATGGACTCATGGTTGGTGGCATCCGGTTCCGGATGTCCTGTCACTGTGACCTCCATACGAGTCACATGACGCCTGCACCCACAGAGAGACCATGGGTGGCTTGCGCTGCACCACTCGCAGCTCTATCCACACACCCCATATCCAGTGTAAACCCGAAGGAATAAGACCGGCAGGCATGTGGATGGGAGCCAGGTTTTATCAACGGAGCCGATCCACAATCCTTCAACACGCACAGCAGCAGCATTCTGGTCTATCCAATTTGGGAATCATCCGTATCAGACGTGCACAAGGCGGTGGCTGGACCGTAGTTCGCTCCTAACTGGAAGAAACTACCCTTCGAGCCTAGCACGGCCACAAGGATCGTGCACTCCGTACCCACCAGCAACGATTCAGTCTCCTTGAGCCAGGAAACGAGGTGGTAGGTGTCAGACAGGTAGGCAAATTAGCAATAAGGCGGAATACATGTTCAAGTTTAGGTCTGTTCTCCGAGTTGAACTCTTTTGTTGCAGACGAGTTAGTGAATTCTGTGAACGCCACTCTAACGAAACTTACAAAAGATAAACGTTCTTCAGCCGCAATCGTTTGCCGAGTGAATCATTCGAGACCTACCTAACTGAGATAAAAATTCTAACGCGGAACTGCAAATTTTGTGTCATTCACCCTCTCCATCTCGGAAAATTCTGCTTAGTACGCACTGACGGTCACCTCCATTGGTGAGGAAACGTCAGCAACGAAATAGTTCAGCGAGGAAAATATACCTAAAAAGGAGGTAAGCAACTTGTCAACATGCACATCAAACGCAGCCACACCGGGGATATCAAGCAACAACCAATCACTTGAAACGACGATATAAAAAAATAAAAAGAATAATGCGTACACATATGCTGACATGGATCTTCGCTAAATGAGCATATCAACAAATCCCCGATACGTTCAAGACGTTAAAAAATATGCTTTAAAAATGCCACAAAAGCGAGAATGTTATTGAAATTAACCACAACTAGCTTCAGCAACGTGCGCAGATCTATAGAAGATAGTTCAGGTGAAGCTTAAGATAAGGTAAAAAAATGCATTGAGACACGATAGCAAACCAACCACCTGAAATAGACTCAGAACACCAACACGCGGTTAATAGATCGAATGCAGCACATCTACAAACGTTGCGCCGGTGCTGCTTACGTTCTCAACAGAACCCGTCCTCATTTCGAGGCTGGTCCCAAATGGCCTCGCTCGTGGCTGACTAAGCCTGCCTGACTCAAGAACTCGCGACCGCATGTGCTACAGCATCATGCGCTCGATGTCGATGGAGTACAACCCACCGGTGACGGTCGCTACGCAACAACCGCTACTTCTCTGCATGCACGAGGGATTTCTCACGTACCTCGGCAACTGCCTTCGTGATCAGATCGCGCCGTGTACGTCGATCTACCGCCTTCGATTCCCATGATCTGCAATCAAGTTTAGAACGGGAGAGGCGCACTTTGATCATGTCCTGGTAACGTAACTTTGGTTTCCCTACATACCGCTTCCCTACACCTATCTGACCATATAATAGCTGCTTCGGTATTCGCGTCGAATCCATACGGCTCACACGACCCAGCCACCTCAAGTGTGTCAGCAACAGTATACAGTTCCCTGCATACATTCCACTTCGACGCAGCACAGCGTCTGCAACTCTGTCCAAAAAAAAACGATGAGCAGAATCCGTCGCAGACACTGCTGTTGGAACCACTAGAGATATCGCACATCCCGACGGTGCATTGTCCACGTTTCACTGCCGTATAGAAGAACGGACAACACTATGGAATCGTACACCATCAGCTTCGTGCCAATGGTAAGCTGATGGTTGTTCCACACTCGGTACTCTAGTTTACCGAACGCCGCCGCTGCCTTCGACACGCGGATATGCAGCTCATTGTGTAGCTGCTGCTGATCAGTCGACAGCACACTTTCAAGGTACCTGAAGCGGGAGATGGTTTCCAATACTTCATCATCAATGATGAATTGCGGCAATATTGAAGATTGCACCTCCGGTGAAGGCTGAGAGACAGACAGTTTTGCTTATATGATGTTGAGCCCGAATTTTGCCGATGTCGAAGCCAGAGCACTAATCATGTGCTGCAACTCATCCGCGCTGTGTGCAAACAACGCACAGTCGTCAGAAAACAGCAACACACGGATAGCTGTATCATATACTACAGTTCTCGCAGCGAAACGACGGATGTTCAGCAACCCACCATCAATACGGTGCTCCACACGAACACCACAAGCACAAGACATCATTGCATGAAGATATCTCTTAAACAGGACAGGAGCTAAGACACAGCTTTGCTTCACACCAGAGACAACTGAAAAGTCATCCGAGGTCTCTCCACTCAGCTGCACTCTCGCTCGCATACCACTGTGTAGGCATTCAATTAAACTTACAAACTTAGGCGGGTAACCAAACTTACCCAACACCAGCCACAAGGCCACGCGATTCGCCGTATCAAATACCTCGGTGAAATCAACAAAAAGCGAGTACAATGGCTGGTGTCGTACTCTACACTTCTCCTGCAACTGACGAGCCGCAAACACTATATCAATAGCGTTGCGATCCGAATGCCACGTTAGGTTCCACAACCTGGCTGACGAGGCGGTTGAACAGGATTTGGGCAATCACCTTGTCCATACAACTCAACGAGTTGATGCCACGATACTTCGTACAACATTGCTTGCTGCGTTTGCACTTGTACAGTGGTAGCACAAGGGCATCCTTCAGCTCAGGAGGCACCTCCTCTTCAATCCAAACGTGTTGCATCAACTGGTGCAGCTCAGTAACCAACGCGAGTCCGCCGTGTTTCAATACTTCACGCAGGATCCCGTCGGCCCCAGCACACTTGCCGTTTTGCAGCTGAGCAAGTGCTCTCTGCGGCCTATCCAGTGTTGGCGTGTCCACTAGACTGATCTCCACCTCATGCTGCTTTAGACCGTTCAATGTTGTTCGAATAACAGTCAAAATGATTTCGCCAGATCTGGATTACGTCTGCAGTCTGTGTGCAGGTAGCGCCTGAACTACCATCGATCAGCGTCCTCAGCAGCTCCAACCTCGACCCACACACAGCGCCTTCAACCAGTTAAAGAATTCCTTGTGTTGGCGGCGTTCGGCGTAGCATTCCATCTGCCTCACCTTCTCCGTCCACCATATACTTTTAATGTGACGGAGCTCTCGGGTCAGTCGCCGTCGAAGTTTGCGAAACTGATTATTCTTCCCCAAGTCACTGGGGTCTGCCACATGTGCAACAAATGCTACATTCTTCTCCGACACAAATGCGCCAATCGGTGCATTGTTGTCATCAAACCAACCAGGCCACTTACAGTTTGCGCACCTGATGGTCTCCTCGGCAGCAGCTGTCACCTGGTCGCGAATGTGGTGCCACAGGTAGCCCACTCTGGCTATGCAGTCCATATCCCATAGGCGTACAGCCATCGTCTTCTCCAGCTCAATACGTTTCACCACAGTACCGAGGGAGAGAATGTTAAACTTACGCCGATTCAAGGCGGGACTGCAATACATAGATTTGCGAAAATATATGTACAGTTTGGTCCGCACCAACTTATGATCAGTGCCACACTCAGCTCCACGCAGTACACGTATCATGAACACTTCACGCTGACGTATGATGACATAGTCGAGCAGGTTAGCGTGACCACTCCGTGGGTGCGTCCAAGTTGCTGTCACTCGCACTCAGTGCAAACTGAGTGCGAGTGATCGTCAGGCTGTGAGTGGCACACAGTGAGAGTATCCTGTCACTGTTCGCATTCGCTCAACCAATGCCATGCGGACCGATGACATTCGTTCATACCGATGCATCCCGCCGAAGACGCGCGCTGAAATCACCCAGTCAATAAACTTCACGGAGTTGGATATTTTTCACAATTCATATAATGTTGAGATCGTCAGGTGAATTAATTCCATGATCGCTGCTGCGGGTGCTAAAACGGTTGAATTGTGTGTGTAGTGATGTGTCGTTTCAGAGGAGCTGGGCCCAATGGCAAAATGCACTGTAGCTGCAGTGAAGCAGCAAAGTTAGCGACCCTAAAAGGTAGTCGTGGAAGCACACATCTAGCCAAGCAGTGAAAACATACGGAAAATGCAAATGGTACAGTGAGACCAATCCCAGTGAGGCGTGTTCATACGTGTTTACATAGATAGGATTAGTTGGAAATGAGGTAAAAATTAGGAATTACCGAAACCAGTGTAATTAGTCTAATCTGAAATGAAAGCCCCTGGACAAGTCTCCTAAATCAGCGCGTGCAAAATCAGGTTCAAGTTTGGTACGGAGAAATTTGGAGATGGCTGAGTTGGCGAGTGACGAAAAATACCACAGCACTTGGGAGTGGGAACGGCAACCCTTGTGTTTGACCCATTGATCCAAACTGAGGATGTCCTAATGGATATGCCAAAGTAACACCAGTTAACAACGCGGGCAACTTTTAGAGGTTCAAACAGTGCTTCCAGGATAGTTGATCAAGTGGGCTGGGGTGGATACGTGCCGTTTCATTGGACCATCACAGGG